CTGTGAGTAGTTCAGGAAATGACCAGCTATATCTCGGCTCTTCCCTTCTCGTTCCTGTGGCTGGCAAATAAACCCTAGGAGAAAGCAGGATGCAACTTATTCAGTTTGGAATTGGCTAGATTGTGATATTCAGCAGAAGATAATGAGAAGTGATGGGGCAAGGCAGACAGGCCAGATAAAAGGCCTCCAGGCATGCTGAAAGCCGTTTAAAGGTGGGCACATTGACGATTCGCACCTCACGTTCAGGAGAACTCTTTATCCACCCATGTTGTTTTTGTCCGCCGCTTCTCATGCCGCATAAGCACAAGCTTTCATTTGTAGTTCCTGACAATTTCCGCGAGCCACCGCGGACCAGAAGCAATGGAGGTGAACGTGTTTGTGTGAGGAGAAATGCTATCCAATTCCAGTGGGGTCCCTGTGGTAAGGGCCCAATATCAGCAGACACACAAGCAGAGCATAAGTAAATAGCCATATAGTGCTATAGTTGAAGAGCCGGTTGGAGTCCATTTCATCTTCACTGAGCCGATTCAGGAGATGCACTGCATTTTTACTTGCCAATTTATATGTATGCTGGTGTTTCCATGTGGTAAATTCAGTTTACCACCTGAATTGATTTCCTTATTTTGGCTTCATTTAAATGCAGCTGAGGCATTTCAACCAAGTTCTCTTTTTTTTCTCTGCAGGGGGACCTCGGCGTCTTAGTGCCATACAAAGACACTCGTAGATGACACAGGCAGTTATGCGCCCTCTGGGACGGCCTTTGAATGAAGGTTTGAATGTTTCCTATTCAACATGCTTTCTGTGATCACACCTCGCTCATATGAAAACAAGCGCCAGGGATAAGATTTGATTTGGTACTTTTGTCCTCCTTCTATAGAAGTATTCTTTTTTTTTTTTCAAAACACGTATTGCATTATAATAAGGCCTGATATTCCATGCACACAATTCAGTCAACTCTCTACTTACGTGACTGGTATTGTTTTTAGAATACCATTCAACGTCTCCTCTGTGTTAGTGTTGTCTCAGCTGCATTCCTTTGTTCGCAGGTTCACGGATAATGTGACAAGAAAAGTGACGTGTTAACCTGGGTCACATTGCATTCAAGACAACAAATTTACCAACGTCCCATTTATGACAGAATCTGCATCAAATTGTTCATCTTTTCAAGCTCTTCAATAACTGCGTTCATTTTTTCCAAATACATTTATGCCAAAGCTCACATCACCTTCGGTTAGAGCTCCTTTTAATATATTGCATATAATGACCA